TTAGCAAAAGACCCTCAGATAAAAGATCGTAGTCCCTCGATGAACCTTCGATACTACCTTTGATAGACGATCTTAGTCCCTTATGAAAATTGGTAAAACATCCTCCAAGTTGCCTTCTATGACTGTACGATGACCCACGCCTGTCCCTCACATCCAATGATAGGGCTTCCTACTAACTAATGGTAGGATAGCACTATCTAAAGGAGGAGGAAAAGAACAAATACTTTTTGAGTAGGTAGATCGCTCGTAATCGCTTGCTCACAAACTAAAACAATCTTTACACTTCACACTTTCAAAACAACTACTTTTAAAAACACTTTATAAACACCATTGAAGACTGATACAAGGGTTATTATAAAGCAAAGTGCCTTACATTTGTAATTTTCAAACATCTTTCACAAAACAACACCTTCCCTTTTCATAACCTACCCCCCGAACTCAATAAAATTCTCAAAGGTGTTTCATATTCTTTTCACCCTTTCCTTTATTGGATAAAAGAAAAGTCGGTGGCGACTCTTGCTATCCGCAACATTTGCGATAAAATGCAAAACCAAAATTCAATTCTCCCACCGTATTACAAATTGATTCGTATATAATTTATCTTTGATTATTAAAGTTTAAATTGCTTTGTTGATTAACTTATAATCACTTTAAGTGTAAGGTCTTTTTCATATTAACAAATCTCAAAGAAAATTTTGAAAAATTGATTGCGCGCCACATGTTCGTTAAATTGCCATGTTATGTTTTTAATATGATTTCATTGGAAATAGGAAATTGTTGTGTTGGATATTAAACGGTTAGTTGTGATATAATTATGTTAAATGACTTTATCATTATGTTAATTCCATATGACTCATGCATATCCGAGTTTCCAATAACTAGGTTTGTTTAGACTACTATATTAATCTAGGCCAAAAACCTTCTGCTCAAAATTGTTTTTCAAATAAGTTTTAAATAATCATTTATAAAGATAATTTTTATTTGGGGATTTATTCCCCCCTCTAGATCCGGTTCCTTAGTATAAAATTGGCAGTATCCTAATCAACTGGCTCTGGCTTGAAAACATTTTAAATATCTTTTGTAGATAAAAAATTATTTTAAGTGTGTGTATGTATGTGTGTCTGTGAGAGTATGTATGTGCGTGTTTGTGAGTTTCCTTAGTATCTTAGGAGTTACTTCCCTTCTTTTACAAAACTCTGGCCACTCAGGCAGACACGACCATGCGAGCTTTCACACGTCCTCTCTTACATAACTCTAAGGCCTTCAAGATTATTTTCCAAATGCATCAATCATATAAGCATTTAAATGGAGTCTTGAGTCTCCTACTAGATGATGTTTTGGTTTTATTGAAGTTTGGTCACCATCATCAGAGAGTTGGAAAACCATTACCATCAAGTTCAACGGTAATTGAAGTTGTCATCATTAAAACTTTATAACGGATTTTCTATGGGATCATCAAATTTATACATCGATCCATATTCTCCCCATTTTTAATGACACAATGCATGTCTATGAGAGGTGGTAAACAAAAAAAAATAGATAGATATATAATTAGAGTGGTTAAGATCCACCTCAATTAGGTAGATATTATACTCTTCTCTTCCTGAAAATATACTTCTTCCCCTTTGGCATAATCAAAAAGGAGGAAAATAATCAAAGCACATATATCACATATATACTTGGGTAAAAGGAAAGAGATACTTGATAAGAAAACATGGGAGAATTTTCTAGAGTGAGGCATAAATAAGAAGAACACGAGGTCATACTTCTCCTCAGGATGACAACTTCCTGTTTTGAGATCAACTAGTAGGTAATTTTTTAGAAGTCTTTTTTAGTTCTTTCTTGAACAAACTTTAGTTATCTTTGAAGCTTTTTAAATTGAGAGGCACTTCTGAAATATCTTTCTTGATGGGATTCCTTCAAGGAGATAATTATTTCTTCTTAGGAAATATTTGGACAACCTCTTTTTAGCCTCCTTGCTATTTTGGGTCTTGGGTTGATATTGGGCTTTAGTCATACTAGTTTAGTCATATTAGATTGATATCATCCCTTTGCTTCAAGAACAATTAAGACTCAACCAAATATTAGTAAAAGTAATCTTAATTAACTAAGCAATTAATAAAACACTTACAAGAGAGTTAACCACCATTTTTTTAATTTTTCAATCTCTATTAAGTTTACTACATGAAAATATCAAGATAACTTGAGAAAAGAAAAACTTCCATTTTTTTAAGGAACTACAAACCACCATCAATTATCTTTCTCTATGGATCAATTGATACGAGAGTTCGTCCAACTATAGGGCTGATAAATTTACACATTTATCTTCTTAAACTTCTAATAGGTTCCATGATTTTAGTTATTTAATGAAACTGTCAACATCAACACTTTGATCACCGACATTGAAAAACACCCTCAACATCAAGAGCATCAAGAGAGATAAACATCATCGGATAATCACTTCTAAATGTATACCTAAGATAGTGTAGCAGTAAAATCAATAAAGTCTCCACCAAGTATTTATTTATCCCATATAAAGGGAAAGGAAAATCATCGAAGAAAAACCTAAAGGTAGAAATCAAGGTCTTGTAATCGAGAGATCGGGTATGGGAGTCGATTACGCAAGGGAAAAGTATTAGCACCCATCACGTCTGTAGCACTCTACGGGATCCACTCTTGTTGTTCTAATCAAAGGGTATGTTCAATCTAATTCTTAAGAGATAAAAGAAAAAAATTCTAAGAGGGAATGCATGCAAAGAAAACACGGGGAAAAGAAGGAAATATTTACAAATTTTTGCTCGGTTCAGCCCCGTGACCAAATGCCTACATATCCCTTTTAAGGAATCAGAGTGTCGTAGTTCGGCTCACAAATTTCTGTTTGTTTGTATTTTTTAAATGAACAGTGTTAAGTTCACTCATCCCACCACCGCTCGACCATTGGAGACTCACGCACTGTAGTGGAAAAGAATCAACATGTTCTTAGAAGAGAAAAGCCGAATAGCGAAAAGAAATGAATTGGTTGGTGTTTTTTACCATGAAAAGGATTTTTGTATGTTTAGCATGTTTTATACATTTTCCAAAAAGAATTTTTAGTTTTAAATGCAATTATGAAAAAATGGGGAAAAAACACCTAAGGGAGACTAACCTACCTCTAACCTAGTGTTATCATATAATGATGGCCCACCATCAAGGATGGAAAGGAAAATCTCTACCCTATGTTAGTATACATGGATAACTATCCTAATGTCTAACTCGAAAGCTACCTTAATCGAGCGACCCTAAGGGAACATGCGAAGATCAAAGTCGTTATCTCAATTCTAATTGAGTGACATCATCGATCGTCAACAAAGGAAAATGAAAATCCTAAGGGGAGCATGCAAAGATCTAAGTCGTTATCTTAATTCTAATTTAGTGACATCATCGATCATCAAGAAAGGAAAATGGAAATCCTAAGGGGAGCATGCAAAGAACGAAGTAGTTATCTCAAATCTAATTGAGTGACATCAAAGATCATCAACCAAGGAAAATGAAAATCCTAAGGGGAGCATGCAAAGATCGAAGTTGTTATATCAATTCTAATCGAGTGACATCATCGATCATCAACAAAGGAAAAAGAAAATCCTAAGAGGAGAATGCAATGATAAAAGTAGTTATCTCAATTCTAATTGAGTGACATCATCGACCGTCAACCCATGAAAACAAACACAAACAAAATTAGAAAACACGTGAAGAATTCCTGCTACAGGTCATTAAACAGTGACTTCGAGCACACGCTCTTTATTATCCTACTTCTCATGATATCTAGAAAGTAATAAAATGAAGAAAGATAAATTGGAAGCATTATAATACCAAACGAACAACAATGTTCGCAAAAAGTGCAACCAAAGCAAAAAAATCTAGAATATTTCGCGCGAGTTAGCATCAACAAATAAACAGTCAGAGATTGAATGTTCTGAATAAGTGTCGAGGCATCATCGTTGTGAAAATAAATCACAATTGGAAACTCAAGCATATCCGCATATCACATAATAAACTCGCATAAGACTCAAATCTCGAAAAGCAAAAGTGAATCACAAGTCCCGAACAATTGAAAATCATGAACTAATTCCTAAAATCAAATAAAAAGTCTAACAAATTTTTTTATTGATTTTTTATTTTTTATCATGTGGAGAAAATTCAAACAAATCTAAACAATTAACAAAATTATTTGAAAGAAGTCACAAATAGAATAAACCCAAAGGGGGTGCAAGCCAGGATCCAAAGGTTAAAATTAGAATCAGGGAGTTTAGCAAGTGAAGGTCCACGCCCACTTCAGTTGAGTCCAATAAGCCATTTTTCTTGTTCAAACAATCAAACGACCAAAAACTGGCACACGGGCCTATCAACAATGAAATCCAACCAATTTCTTTTGCAAGTAAAAGAAGGCTTCCAAAAATGAAGCAATGGACTAAATAGGGGGTGGTTCGGCCCAGAATCAACACAGCAACCCCAAGTCCAATTATTTTCTTTTTGATTATATATTGTTATCTCAAATTTCAGTTTACGAGAAAATAAAAATAAAAAACAGAAAATTGAAAAATGGAGTATATGTGAAATTATGGTTGGGTGTGACCCTTGTGATCCTCGAACACAGCTCTTTCCTTCTCCTTCATCTCACTGGCGGCGCCTTCTTCTCTGTTATCCACCTATACCGCCGCGGCAGTTCTCTCTCCTCGCCTCCGTCATCTCTGCTTCTAACAACCACACACAACCTTAATTCGTTTCCTTCTTTCTCCTTTCCACGATCGATAACCTCTAACCTCCCTCCTCCTTCCACCGTCTTCATTCAATTTCCGGCCACCATCATCAATACTTCGACATCCACACCTCCGTCAAATTCGCTTTAAAACCTCCATCGATCTCTTGCTCACGATGGTGCAACTTCGCTCCATCTCAAATTGTTCGTCTCTCCTCCGATTTTGTACCCAATCTCAACCACAACATATCATCTCTTTAACCATTCAAAAGAACAACATGGCAACATTATATGCCAAAGGAAAAGATTGAAAGGTGTTACCTACCATAGACGAGTCCGCTGCTCCTTCCACACCGTTGCAACAATGAGAAATCTGTATATCTTTCCGCGAAGTTTCAGGTATGCGTACTCGTTTGTATCTTTCTTGTTGTTTTACTTCTCTCCTTCTACTTGTGTAGTGGTACTACTGTGAGTTGTTGTAGAGATGACGCCGAAAATTAAAGAAAACTCTGCGATGAAATCTTTGTTGTATGATGTTGCAGGAGAAGTAGTGATGATGAAGATGCAAATATTGTTGCAGATTATTGATGAAGAAGGGATATGAATTTCAGAGAAGTCTTCAGATGAAGATCGATAGGATATTGCAGAAAAACTCATAGAAAGTTGAAGTAGTTGATGGAGGTTGAAGAAGGTTGAATATGAAGATGATGTTGAAGCGTGAAGGTCCGAGATGGAAGATTGAAGGTGCGTGAAGGTGAAGATGGAGAAGAGGGACAGAGATTGCAGAGAGAGTTGAAAGGTGCTAATTGAAATTTTTATGTTATCTTTTAGTGAATGAATGGTGAAAAGTGAATCCCCCTTTCCCTATGAACTCCCCATTTGTTATATAGGAATTTTTCTGTGAATTTAGTTATAACTCAATCAACTCAGGCCATTAGATTGTCAAAATCGGTTAAGAGATGAAGGGCCTAGATTGATTCGGTTAGGAGTTAGTTTTTAGTTAGTGATTCTGTTAGAAATTATGTTAGTTGTTAGTTAGGATTGTTAACTTCTGTTAGCTCTGTTAATACCTTCCAGTGTGATTTCTATTAGGAAAACTAAGGGTTGAGATTGAAAGTTGTCTCATCTGAAATTCTATTATGCTTGCTGAGCCGTAACTCAGTTTTTTTAACTTCCTGACTTTCTTATGCAAGTCTTCATACATATTGCAATGTTTTGAAACAGGGAAGGGTTGTTTATTTGCGTCGGATTTAGTTTAAAGTGATGCAGTGCATGGCTGTTAGGATGTGATGCAACTGGCCTTCTTGTTGATTGCAGGGCTACAATAATCAGCTTTTGATGGAGCAATGGTTTTGAAGCAACGCTGAGATTATGGCCCGAAGTATTGAAATTCAACTTGGTTGAAAGGATGAAGTAAGGTGAAGATGAAATAGCATGAGATTGATGAAGAATGGAATAGGTTTATATTTTATGAATTTGGTTTTTGGTGTAACTTTGTAGTGAGTTTTGAATTTGTCTTTCAATCAATGAAGTAATTCCAAGAAAAAGCAACTTGACTTTTTCTTTTAATTTGAATCTCAAATTTTACTCCAATTCTTCAATTTAGACATCCAATCTTCCTTCATCTTGCAATCTTGAATCAATTATTGATTTTGTAATGCCTAGTCTTTTTCTTCTAATTTCATCTTGAATAAATCTTGTCCTTTACAAAGAAAATTCACCCATCTCAAGTGATCTTCTCCAATTACATTTCCTTTTGGCTTTGGAATAATGACATGATGAGTTAAGAGAACCAGAGTAAGTTTTGAAACATGGCATGCTCATAACTTTTCATGAATCAAGATGTAAGTTCCAAATTTCAAGCAAACCAAATTCACTAATTTTCTAGTTTTGCAACCTTAATCTTGAAATGATACTTGTATGAAAAATGATAAGGCCTTTGTAATTCGAATTCTCGATGGTCCACTTGACAAGATTTTGAACTCAAATTATACTTTGAATTTGTCACTTGTAAATTGTATTGCAACAAAACCATATGCATGGATTCTATTGAATCAATCTTGAAAGAAACATTTCACAATAATGAAACCATTCTCTACTTCACTCCTCAAATTCAAGTCAACTTGCAAACAATCAAGAAGTTGAAGAGATAACAAGGCCTTGATTACAAAGAATCCCCAAACTCCTACCATGTTGTATACTCGCTCTTTAGTCAACAAAATATAATGCTGAAAACTCAAAGCCACACTTAATCATTTGGCAAGTCTCACCATAAAAAGAGAACCATGATTCAATCCTCTAGACTTATTGAAAAGAAATGACTCGTAGAGCAAGTAATTAAGGTAAACTCTATATGATGATGATGAAATCACAATAAGGAACAGATGATGATCCTTGTAGCCTTAAGGAGAAAAACCCAGCACGATGAACTTCTGTTGAAGATCTAATACCAAGCTCCAAACAAGATAGGAGAAACCCTAAATGATTTTTCTCTGTGTTCCCATTAATGAAGAAGGATTGAGATAATGAGAGGAATAAAACCCTAGCTTCAGAACATTCTCAATGAAGACATGATGAAATCTTGAGCACCCGGTAAACCCTAAAGTACTCATTTCTTGAAGAAATTCTGATGAAGACAACCTTATATCTCAAAGAACCCTGCCAGTGAAGATGTATATGATGTTTGTGATCCAAAATCCTAGTTTCATACCAATAATGATGAGAGCACCAATTAAACCAACTTTGAGTAAGGTAGCAACCTCAATTCATATAGAAAAACTCTAATGCCAAGAGCCCTTTGATCCCGTAACCATGGAATGATGATATGCATGAGATGTATATGATGTATGAGGGATCATAGGGTCTAAAATTGGGGTATAACAGATGCCCTTATTTTAGTGTCTTCTATTCGGAGATACAAAGTTTAAAATCCTCGTCTCGACGTGATTGAAGATACTTTAATATAAAATAAACCCTATTTTTGGCCCTAAGATGCCATGCGATGCTTATGATTATGAATGTAAATGATAAACTTCACATAGGTGAACAAGACGCCACTGGGAAGCAAAAATAAAAACTAACAGACTAAAAGAGTTCGACCAGGAAAAAAATCTCTAGGGAACAACACGACTCTGGGGATAGAGGACTTAACTCTATTAGGGTAAAGCCTAGAGAGGAGACAAAATAATATCCACTCAATAAAACAAAGAAAAAATAATGGATAACAACGATTAACCGATAACTGCGAACTATCCACTCATAGAGGAGATAGAAAAAATAGAGTAACATCAACTCAAAGGGGATCAGAAACTGCTAACCCGAAGGGCGCGAATAGAAACAGTAAGATAATACCAGCTCAAAGATGACGGTAAACATCAACATAGAGACTAGTAAATGAGTGATTGGTATCACTATTTATTAATGGTAACAATGATTTGACGTAAGCACTTTGTTGTACCCCAAAATTTGCCCTCTCATTTTACTCAAAACATACTCCTAGAGATCCTCAATTTGCTCAAGGTTGCCCAAGAGTTGACCAGACAAATTCTCTCATAAGGCAATATGTCTTAAACTAGGGTTTCCATTTTCATCAAGATGGGTAAACTCCAAGGACTTAATATTCTCTCCATGGTTATAATATGCTCTCAAGACCCTCCATGTCAAATTTCAAGCATTGCACAAGAAGTTTGCTCAGTCAACTCCTTAGATGCTTGAGAATCGACTGTATTAGGTCAAAAGTCAATTGTGGCCCACATACAGTCAAACTTCAAGATTTTTGGTCAAAATAAGAATTTTGAAGTTATGTCCATCATTTGATCAAGGGTTGATCATGATTTCTCAAGGAATGTCCCAAATTCGTCAAAACCCAAAAGTTGCTAAATTAGGGTTTCTAAGGAAAAGTCAACCAAACTTTGACCAAGCATAACTTCTTCATACTTTATCAAAAATTTTCCATCCAAGTCTCATTTTGAAGAGGATGAAATTCCCTACAATTCATATTCATCCCTCAATTTCAAAATATGCACTCACAAAAAGATATGAATTTCCACATTATAGGTCCTTTTGAAAAGTCAACAAAAACACTTTGTGGGTCAAAGCTTCTTACATGAACATGGAAGAATCAATTGAGATGAGACCAAAAGAGTTGATTAGGGGACATCCTAAGCTTTATATAAAGTCCAATAGCATCTATCTAGGGTTAAAATTGGAAGAGATATGCCTTGTCAAAGTTGACCTTTTTTGCAAAATTGCCAAAAGTCAAATGTGCTCCAAAATGCATTTTTTGCCAAATGGGCCTAACTTTTTATGCTTGCACCTCACTCATAACATGGTCCACGACCAAAATATTCACTCACATGTTATTTTCTTCATTATTTATTTTATTTTGATTTTTTATTTATTAAAAATTGAATTAAATCAAATAATTGGTAAATAATAGCAAATATTTGTTTTGATTGGATTTTTGGACAGAATCACAAGCTCATTATGCTGGCATATCAGAATCAAATCAAATCAAACTAATTGACACAAGAATGGCATGATTAGGCCAAATTTGGAAGGATATCATACCGCATGAAAACCAAATCAAATCTCCATAAATTTCAAGATACAAGTTGTTTTTTACAACCCTAATTCGTTCAAGTACATATACATAATGCATCCAAGGTAAAAGGAAGTGGTGGAAGTCATGAGAAAGAAAGAACAAAACTCAAAAATTTGACAAAAAGTTGTGACTCGGTTTCAAGCTTGGAGGCTAATTCAAGCCATTCTAGCATTGCCAAATGATTCTTGGACCTTCCCAGAAGCTAACCCAATCGATTGCAGGTCCTTTCATGCACAGAAACGCTTGCTACATCTCATACGGTTTTCCTACCTTTTTCAAATTGATTACAATCATTCTCGCATCATTAGCATGATTTGATGATATAATTGTGACCATTGATGTATTTCTAACATGTCTGGATTGTTTAATTGGATTTTTGATGCACATACTGAGGTTTGCCATTCTTAGGTTTTATTTGGTCGTTTTAGGGTTTTTTCATACAGGTAAAATTGGCCACAGAAAAGGGTACTAGGATGCTCGTGGCATCAAGACGGTTTGATCCATGTAACTGGAATTCATTTATCATGCGTTGTGTTGATTTTTGAAGGTTGCAGGTTTGTAGCTATGGAAGATGTTCGTAGGTATAAGTATTATACCTAAAATGAAGGACTGAGGAAGAAGGTGATAACGTGGTAGCCAACCATTGGGCCATTCAAACTGGCGCGTGTTTTTTTGTTTCGTCCACTAACTCATGTTTTAACATATATTATGAATTGTTGTTATTTGATTAACAAATAAATCACGTAGCGCAGATGGCAAGCATGCATGTTGGAAAGGGTAGAGAACCTGGGTTCGATCCCAGGTCCCAACAACTTTCTTATTTTAATTGTTCATTATAGGATCCTATGCGTTGCTATCCTAGAGGTCCATTATGCACCTCCATCATCCAACCACAGGATCTAAGCACGTTCATGATCAACCAGATCCAATGACTCCAATTGCCAGGGACCATGGTGTACCATCAAGAAGACTCCCCACTGGATCACGCGCTGACTGGGCTTCAATCATAATGGGCTTGGATTAATTCAACATCACACCCCCCAATTGCTTAAGCAGACCCATCTCTAATCTTTTTTTATTTTATTTTATTTTATTTTATTTCTTATTCTTTTATTATTTACTCAATTCTTTTTTTCTTTACAAAATAAAAAAAAATCATTTTTTTATCAAATCAAAATCTCAAAAAAAAAAAACATAAAAATATTTTTTTTCATAAAATAGTTATTTTCTTTAATTAATTAATTTAGTTTAAATTAAGTTAATTTAATTCCTTTTCATAATTAAAATTAATTAGAAATTAGGGTTGTAAATAATTAATTTTTCTCCAAAAATAACCAAATTATTTTCTAATTAGATTTTAGGTCTCTTAATTAATTCTTCGCATTTAATTCGTCGCGCGTATTTTTAAATTACCTTTTGATTATTATTTATGTAACTGTTTCGAGGTTGTAATAGATTCTAATTAGGGTTTTAATTTCCGCATTTTATTTTCAGTTAAATAATTTTGTATCTGCGAAAGCCATGTAATAGTTAGGATTTCTATTTCCGCACTTTAAATTTCCGCAATTATTAATTGTTAGATGTATGCTAATAGGATTGTA